TTTGTGCACAACCTCAATGTACTCAAATACATTCAGTTCTCAACAGTGTACATAGGCTAATAAAGAGATTTAATAAGTATACTGAATATGATATGTATATGTGACATGTTTTATGGAATAGATCACAGGATTTATGTAATAGTGTATTGCTTGGTTAATGCATGATATGTTATGTATAAGATTGTTAAATTATAAGGATTAATTATAATGAATATGAAATGTTAAACATGTTGATAAAGATATAGGTGTATGTGGATATATGTTACAGAAATGATATATGTTTTTATATAATACGGTCATAATAAATGTTTATATGCCTCACTAAGTCTATGACTTAGCGTGTGATTGTTTTACACGTAGGTTTGGAAAGCGAAAAGAGAAGTAAAGATGAACAAGACATGTCAGTTCTCCTTACTAAAGATCAGATCAGAAATATAGATCAAATTACATGTATTTTGTTAAATAGAATTTTAGTTGGCATGTAATAAAAAGGATTTTTATTGGATACACTCTGATTGAATTTTGGAATGTTTTAAACGTATAAATGTAAATGTAAATGCATGGAAATAAACGGTTAATTTTTTTTCAAGTTTTATGTACATTTTACGAAAATCACTGTAGCAGTGCATCGATGCACTGTAGAAGTGCATCGATGCACAATTTTACTTCGAAATGTTAGTGCATCGATGCACTGTAGCACTGTTCATCAATGTTCACGATATTGTTCATATCGTATTTTACTGTTCATAAATACGTTTTTGCCTCAAAATTTTATAACAAATACAATTCAACAATATATGAACGTATTTTCTTAATATAAGTTCAAATGTTATGTTATTTTGCAAGAATAAAGGTTTTGAAATGTCAATGTGACATCTCGGACTCGTATCCGGGTCGGATACGGGTTGGGGTGTTACAGGTTTATTAGTTTGTTATTGTTGTTAGTTTAGTAAGTTGATTTATTATGGTTATTCATTATGTAAGGGTATTTTAGTCATTTCTATCTTTATATGTTTCATGATTTTTTATGACTACTATGTTTGTTGTTCATTGGCTGTGATACTAGCTAGCCCTATACTTGATTCGGGTTCGTTACTAGGTAGTGATACCCTATTCACCCAACTCATGTCATTCCCTCAATTCGCCCTCGAATTAGAGGAACAATGTACTCCACCATTCGTTGACATTTTAATAGTACGTAACTCCACTAATTTATAATCTGATTAATTCGTCATACTATTTGTCAATACATCCTCTAACGACCCTTCTTTCTTAGATATTCGCTACGTGCTTGGCTGAATGTGTTTGAACATATTATGCCTATTATGGTTACTTCGATTGTAACCCACTATTATTAGTGTTTTCGAGCCCTTTTAGCCATTTACATCCTCAACGGACTAAGATATACCATTACAGACCATCCTTAAATTTTACTGGCCTTAAATAGGTCAATTTTAACTATCCAAAATGAGTAGTATCAATACTCTACTTACAATATCGATATCCTAGGGTCAAGCATCGATACCCCTATGAGTATCGGTACCATAAGTGACTTCTTTTACTGAAAATGAGGCTCAATATTGATATTATACACCTTGAGTATCAAAACAATAGGGGTAGTATTGATGCTTTCCCAGTAGTATTGATACACCTTGCAAGAAATCCCTATATTTTACTCCAATTCATCCAGTATCCATATTGTTCATCTAGTATCGATACTTGAACCCAGAAATATCTTATTTAAGCTAAAAAAACAACCAAAAATCATCATAAATGTCTTATTGTGGTTTCTAATAATGTATGAATGAAGTTACTAGAGGTCTTAAAGTGTCATAAAAGAACATTTATTACATCTAAAACATTATCTAGTAATGAAATCAAGTTTAAACCCTAAAATGCTCCACTACACAAATTTTAGCAATTCATCATATTTATGAAAGTCTTAACATTCCAAAGGATTAGAAATACATTACCTTAATGTTTAAATCCCGAAACGAAGCTCCTTTCTTAACCACACTCTTTTCATTTATGATTTGGATAAAAACCCCTACTTTTTATTTAGCTAGAAAGAATCCAAGACTTTGATTCATTAAAACGATGTTGCTGGTGGAATTATGAAAGAAATTGAAGCATTAAAGATGCCTAAAATACCTTTGAGCTATGAAACTTGGAGAGGAAGAAGGCGAAAAGAAATGAGAATGAATGAAGGAAATGAAGAGAATTAGGAGATGAAAAAAATAAAAAAAGCCTTCATATTTTAAAAATTGTAAAATTGCACATGTGATCATTCCTCATTTTCATGCTATTCAAAAATATTCTTTATATAGCTAATTAGGCTCAATTATAACCCAATTAAGCCCAACGACTTAAATTTTGAAATTCATGGGGTCCATAAGTATCTCGGGTAAACCCAAAATTACTAGCCTATAAATTTGGGTGTTATAATATTCATATACTGAAAATAAACAAAATTGATAAAGCACATAACTTTGTGTATAATGGTAAGTCGAGATATATCCATCATCATCACGATACCATTAGAGAATTGATCTCAAAAGGAATTATCTCTACTGATTTTTTAAGATCAAATGATAATATCGCATATCCACTAACCAAAAGGTTAAATTGAGATCAAGTTGAGAAAACATATAAATGAATGAGACTAAAGCCTATGAAATTTAAAAGTATTATGTAAAGGAAAACCTTACCTAGTTAACTGAAGATCCCAAGATCTAGCTTCAAAGGGATAACCTAATTTCATAAATCGTGTGTGATCACTTTAGGGGTTTCTTATCCCAAGTCTATTCCTATGATGTTAACAGTGATCAAATTGGTATAGACTAAGCAAAGTTTTTAATGACCATTGTGTGCTTCAATGAGTCGAGCAACATAAATCACTTATGTGAGAGTGAAGTGTGGTCACTTTAAGAAGATTATTGGGCATAGTTCTGTCAAACTCTTGCAGAACCAGGTGATGTTCACGGCTATATGGACATACCCATGAGAACTAATATTATTGTCAAAGGGGTAGTTGTGTGAAACATATCATTGTTTACATAAACGACAGAACAGTTCAAGGACATCACATCTACTGGTCAGCCAGTAAAATAAATATATTGTCACAAGGGAAGGTTCAAAAGGAGGACACATACCTATCATATGCAACTATCGATCACAGAGTCTATCACCACATCGAGTCAAAATAGTTTTGATAAATGATCAATTTCATTCATGTGGGGGATTGTTGGAAAAAAATTCGATAATTTTGAAGATTTGAATAAGAAATTGATCCAAAAGTTGCTAAGAAAAATGTTGAGCCAATTGTTGGTTCGTACATGTGCACGATATGGGTAACGTGAATGTCCAAACCGGTTGGACTCTTTATGGGCTTGCAGATATTTTAATCCAAATATGAAATATGTTTCCTCAAATAGAACATATATTTTCAAATATAGCATATTAAAAGGTTCCTTTAATTGAAACAATAATTTTGGAAATTGTTTTATTCTCATTAATACTTCATTAGGTAAAATTTCCAATATTTCACAATGTGAAATCCTTATAAATACAGTATAAACCTACTTGGTTAAACATAACTCAAAAACAATTCAAAAGAATTTTTTTCTTCTCTAGTTTTTTGATGATAGACAAAGGCAATGAATAGTTCGTGATCTCTATAGAAATGCAACTGTAGCTGATCATCTAGTTGTTGTATCCTGGGAGACAGACGACCAATGAGATCAAGCGCCATAGGAGTGTATGAAAATATGTCCTAAGGAACTATGTAGTTGCAGGCCTTAACTCATTTCAATCGGTTATTCTGTCAAAAACGTGTATTTACTTCTATACTATTTCTTTCAATTATTTAAATAAGATTTTTTTATTTTATCGTCTCAGATTGTTATACTTCTAATAATATATATAATTTTTGTTGTTAAAGGGAGTATTATCTTCAAGAATAGATTGAGAGAACGGATTAGGACAGTCACTTTTTGAAATTTTTAAATTCTTGTATATTTCAATTTTTCTTGATATTTTCTATCGATATTTTTTGTCACATAAAATTTTATAAATTTTATAAGTTTGCTTCCTTATAAAGTTTTATAAATTCTCCACTTAACATAAAATTATATATATGATTTTCATCTCTAAGAATCTTGAGTTCTAACAATGATATCCGCAATATATATCAATTAATCGAAAAAAGAGATATTACTTTATAATTACTTCAAATTAATAAAAAAAATAAAACTAACTGATAATCACTTTTAGCAAATGTTGTTTCACTTTTTTAGAGTATATTCTTTTACATGTTTTACTTTAGTTTTTAATCATAAAACTTGAATTTTATTTAGTTTTTCAGGTATTATCAATTAAATCTTAATAAAATTAGTGTTAATACAATCAATGTTGTTCAAGGCAATAAACGCACTTTACATACGATATTAACTTGATAGATTCAAAATTCAAAATTTTTATTTAAAATAAAAAAATATTTATCAATCATCTTAAAAATCTTAATATATTTTAAATAAGCATCAAATCATTTTTAAGAATTCCTATAATTAACTAATATTTCTTTAATTTATAAAAACATCATGTTTACTAAAATAATTGAATACAACAGTTAAAAAATGAAAAATATATGGGTAAAGTATAGTAATGATCACTAAAGTTTTCTAAAGATTTCATTTAGGTCTCCCAACTTTTAAAACTTGCAATACAGTCCTCTAACATTTAGTCCGTTTGCAATATGATCCCCCAACAGTTATGTCGGGGATCATATTGCAAACGGACTAAATCTTGAGGGAACATATTGCAAACAGACTAAATACTGGGGGATTATATTGCAAGTTTTAAAAGTTGGGGGAGCAAAATGAAATATTTATAAAAGTTCAGTGACCATTACTATACTTTTTCCTTAATAATATGGAAAAATAATTTAAAATAATATATTATTTTGATAGAACAAGAAAAGAAACACACAGAGGGAAATTTGCGCCACCGTCTTGAAACAAACTAAAGAAACAAAACCCTAATTTATTTTGAGGGATTCCAAAAAAGGAAAAAAAACTGGCAATTTTTTGCTTTTCTGCTTCACTTTCACTCCCACTGGAACTCTATCTCGTTTTCTTTGTCATTTTTCCCGGAAAATTAAACTTGTTATTTGGATTGGGATGACGGTTATTTGAAAAACGGTTACGTTAATTAGACAATTGCCAAAATCGTAGCGGAGGCTAGGGTTAGGACTTTCCCGTTTCTTTCTTCTACCCTCGTCATTTTGTCTAGAAAAGTTTCTTCTTTGCCCCTTTCGGTTCAAACTCTGGCGTTTGGGAACTTATTTTTGAAATTTTAATCCAGGGTTCTCAATCTTACCCCAAATTTATTGTTATTTTAGAATTATTTTACTAATTGAACTGCTTTATGAGAATTTGCTGTTATCTTGATTTTTTTAATTTATTGGAAATTATGAGGGTTATTTGAGTCCAGAAAATCAGCAATATGAGAGTCGATGGTGATAAAGGGAGAGAGTTAACTAAAATATAAGCTCTTTATTTTAGTGGTTTTACATATGTTAAATTTCTGCTCCTTTTAATCAAACAATTCTTCTTTCCATTTGTTGAACAGCGTATTAAATCCTGAGTTGAATGACAAGCGACTGGGTTAAGAGTTTGTGATTTGTCTACGAATTAAAAATAATTTGGTGGGTTAGGGTTTTACGAAGGTGGAAGAAGGTTTTCCCCTCTGATTATCATGTTCAGTTTCCATTATGGAAAGAAGTGAACCAGAATTAGTTCCAGAATGGTTGAGAAATACGGGCACTATTAGCGGGAGTGGCAATGCAGCCCACCAATCTGCTTCCTCCTCTTCTCTCTCAGGTACGCTTGTAAATACCAATTACGTTTCTTCTTATATTTGTACTTGATTACAATGTTACTGTTGAACATGTATCTCCTATTATGCACTTTCTTTCCATTTTTATGGCATGTCTTTTTTATTGCATTAATACCGAATAGTTGTCATAGTAGGAACTTCTATAATATTTTATGGGAATATATAATGACTCCATTCTTGTTGTTATATTAGATGTTTCTTCATCGCCACATCATGGGAGAAGTAGAAGCTCTAGGAATATTGGTGATTTTGATTCCCCTAGTTTTGCATTTTTGAATCGGGCATCTTCCTTGAATTTACGGAGGAGTTCTAGTAATTTCAAGGCATGCTTATAGTAGTTTTAGTAGGAGTCATCGTGATAAGGATCGAGAATGGCATAAGGAGAGGTTAAACTTTGGTGTTCGTTGGGACCGTGATTCTTCCGACCCTTTAGAAAGTATTTTAGCGAGTAGCGTTGAGAAATTAGGAGGTATACCCACCTCAAGGGTGGAGATTGATACATTTCGGCAGTCTCATTCTATGGTCTCTAGGAAACAGGCTGACCCTTTGGCTCAAAGGACTGCAGTGGACTCAAGAGACAGGAGTATTAGTAACAATGACAATGACAAAGGTCTGGTTTCTGGGGGTGCTATTGGGAGTAGCATCCAGAAGGATGCATTTCGGAAAGATTTTCCCTCTCTTGGAATAGAAGAGAGGCAATCAGTGCCTGAGATTGCTAGTTACATCTCCTGGTTTGAGCTCAGTTTCTCAGTGTTTATCTGTTGGCAATTCAGCTTTGATTGATGGGGAAGGATGGACCTCAGCTCTGGCAGAATCACCTACTGTGGTTGGTAGTAGTAGCACATGTTGCTTTCCTGCCCCCTAACTGTTTCCACCCCAGTGTCTGTGGTTCCAAGTGCCACATCTGCTCTTAATATGGCAGTAGCACTAGCTCAAGCTCATTCACGAGTACGTACTGCTTCCCAGGTAACAGGCTCAGACAGTTCTTATTGCATGTATAAATTATAACCTATGTATGTGATTAACTAGACAATTGAATCCGATACAGTTATCTGTCAATACTCAAAGGCGTGAGGAGCTGGCCATTAAGCAATCAAGGCAACTAATACCAGAGACACCTTCAATGCCTAAGGGTTCGGTAAGCTATTTGCCTTCACTTTCAGAAAAATATAGTTTTCTAGTGCTGTTTAATTTGTGGTTTTACTCGTATTAGACAATTTTGGTTCCCGTCCCTCTTGCTTCTGCCTTCTTGTACATTATTTATATTGATCAGACATTGTATACTTAATATTTCTTTATATCTATTTCCTGATATCTGCATTTAGGTTTTCTATGTTATACAAAAACTTTATTTTGGTACTTATGTGCTGGATTTTATCCTACTTAGTTGTCTATATGGCAATATTACCGAAATTTTGATAGGGTAAAGTATACTAATGGTCACTAAACTTTTCTAAAGCTTTCATTTAGGTCCCCCAACTTTTAAAACTTGTAATATAATCCCCCAACATTTAGTCCATTTGCAATATGGTCCCTCAACATTTAGTCCGTTTGCAATATGGTCCCCGACATAACTGTTGGGGGACCATATTGCAAACAAACTAAATGTTGGGGACTGTATTGCAAGTTTTAAAAATTGGAGTACCTTAATGAAATATTTAGAAAAGTTCAATGACCATTACTATACTTTACCCATAATATATGTAGCCTAAATATTAGAGAGAAATGAGAAATCAAGCCCAATAAGAAAAATATTGAAAATGGTGGGCCGGGCCAAAATTCTCCAACAGAAGCAAGACTTAGATCCAACACTGTTTCTCCTCCCCATCTCAAGAAAGAGTGAGTCGCTTTGAACTAAACAGTGTTAGCTCACTGTTATGACTATACACAGAGCAGTTCAAAGGATCCACTCTCGTGGATGTCCCGCGCCTCAAAAGCTTCTATATTAACGCACCCAAAAGAGTAAGCTTTTTGTTTTTCGTATTACTTTTTTCTATTTTCTGTTGATTCTTAATTTAGGTATATAATCTGACCCAGATAAATTTTTGAGCACCCATTTGATTTTAGCTTTATTTTCTCTCTTTGGGACTGTAAAATAATCATTTGGGTGATTAGGAAAATTTCCAAAGAATATTATAGATTACTTACTTGTCGACTTATTGAATTTCTTTTGCGCCAATTTGTGTTATCTTTTTTGAGAACCTTCAGTTTAAAATTAAATAATAAAGGAACTTGGAAATGGAGTGATTCGAATTTGGCTATTGTAACTCCATTTTTGTTGCTTTGATCATTTTTTTCTTGAAATATTCAGACACTCGTTTTTTTTTTCAAATTCGACATATTCATGCTTTATGGCTATTATATCTGTCATCATACTGAAATTCCCATATCTCATGTTGAAAAAACGAGTTCAGATAGATGTAGAATATGCAAATGGCATCAAGTTTAGCTTGTCGGCGGAGTTTTTGCGAGGTTATAGCCCTGCCGCTGATGGCAAGATCGATCAATCGGCGGTGAAAAGGTATATATGTTGCTCAATCTTCTGGCATTGAAGGCAAGACATTAAAGAATAACTAATTTGAGATGTTATCCCTGTTTTAGTTCAACGAGTGTCGTTTGTGATTGCATAAGGTTTGCTTTCTCAGGTTATATCCGGATGGCGCCATGTCGGGATAACGTCTGCCGAACCTGTAGGAAACTATGGGGCAAGGTAGCGTCTCTTAGTCATTTGTATAATCATCTTACACGGTAAAGTTCACGAATGGTTGTATTCTCGAATGTGTTGTACTTTGTTTATTTGATACTGGTGTTATTTTCAGGTGGATGATTTAGGATGGTTTTCCAACCGGGATTTATTCTTGGGACTGCTTCTATAATCTTGGGAGCAACGAGTTTACCCTCATCAGAAATTATATGAGATCACTGAAGAAGCATGGACTCAGCCGGGATCCATCTAAAAGGAAGTCATTGAATGATCCAGGTTCATCCCTCTTGAACACCAACTTAATCTTGGTCTTGTCAAGTTCTTTGTGTTGCTCTATATTTTTCTGGACTCTTAACTCGTTTTCGAGACAAGGGAGCTCGGTATTATTGTGTGTTGGTTGGCCATTCAAAAAAAAGTGATTTGCTTTGATATCAATATTACTCTTACTAAGCTTTTCTTGTGAATCAAGAAAATGTGATATTTAGAGTCTAGTTTTTGAAGTAATTCTTCTTTTTCTAGGTTTAATGAAAAGAAAAACTGCTATGATACATGTTCCCATTTAATTGTCTGAATATCGAATTCTAGGTCTGAACACGATGTTGTGTGTACAATATCTTGGTCAAATGTTGGAATCCAATATTCAAGTCCCCAAGTTCAAATCTGATTAAATTGATCCATTTGAATTGGTGTCTCAGTTTTAACCACAGTTACCGTCCTCTAGGGAACTAAGATGATGGACAAACTTCTTATTTTGGGTTCAAATTTTAATATTTTCAACCACATTCTCGTATCTCCAATCTACGAATTTTGGTAAACATTTGATTTGGATGGTGAAACACAACCATTGATGAAAAAACATATTATTTTGATTTGGACATGTCATGCATATAAAATTTTAAAAAATTTATTTAGAAAAAACACAATATTATAATTTTATAAAACCCCACAAATTTATTTCTTCTATCGTTGATCGGTCACCATTGACCCGTGACTGTCAATCTGTCATCATTGATGCCATCAGAACCTTCTCACCGTCACAAGTCCCTACCCACTGTGAAACCGTGCCAAGCTTCGTGGATGGTGACACGAAGGGTTGTCGATTTTTTAGGTATTCCTTTATTGTTTTTCAGCGATTGCCATGACTCATGTTGTTCTTGCATTACACGTCTACCACCATTAAGTTCCTCGCCCTACTTTGAACAAAACAAAGTTGGTTTCACCAGCAGAGGTGGGGATGGGAGGAGGGAACAACGTGGGGGAGGGATTGGTTTTTTAATTTTTTTAAACAATATTTTTATTTTTAAAAATTATAAATATAATACGTATCAATTAATAGTTTTTTCTAATAACAATTACGGTCCAGAGACCTAAAAGTATAACGAATTATTCAACTCAAGAACTTCATTGTAAATCCGCAGAGCTTAAACCAATTATTCAACTCAAGAACTTCATTGTAAATGATCCCAATGGTTGTATCCCAATTTCTGCTGTATCAAATCGAGGCTTGGAGTTTGATATTTCCATTAGGGTTGCTAGGTTCCTACGGCAATACCCTTCAGTTAGGGGTGAACACAATTTGCCTTGGTTTAGGTTGACCCCAGAAGCTGCTGAGATTGATAGAGAGGAGAAAAGGTTATTTAAGAAGGCAAGGAAGATTTGAAAGATAGGTTGAAACTGTTTGTTTTGATGAGTAAAGATAAGGTTTTGCCTTTGAAGATTATTAAAGGAATGGCATGGTATTTGGGGTTGCCTGACAGTTTTTTGGAGGATTCAAAATGGGATCTTGATGAAACTTTTAGGTTTGTTGATATGGAAGATGGGCTAAGAGGATTGACTACTGAGAGCAATGGAGAAAAAATAGTCTACAATGCAAAGAAATGCAATAAATAATGGGGTTTATTTTGGTGGTACATTGGAAGGAATCGAGTGTCCACTTTTTCCATCAAAGGTATTAAGGCTAAGGAGGAAGATCGAAAGTTGGCTGAATGAGTTTCAAAATCTCCCTTATGTTTCACCTTATGAGGATTTTTCGCATTTGGATCCCGATAGTAATTTCGCCGAGAAGAGAGTTGTGGGGATACTTCATGAGTTGTTGAGTTTATTTGTTGAACACTCAGCTGAAAGGAAGAAGCTTTTGTGTCTTAAGAAATATTTTGGATTGCCTCAGAAAGTCCATAAATCATTTGAAAGGCATCCTCATATGTTTTATTTATCTTTTAAGAACAGAACTTGTGCTGCAATTCTTAAGGAGACATATTGTGGTAACTCAAGCATAAAAAGACATCCGTTGTTGGTCGTGAGGAAGAAATATATACAGCTGGTAAAGGAATCTGACCGGATTTTGAAGAATAGAATGGTTGATAATCGGTTTATTAATCATTAAAAGTTGGAGAAGGGTTTGGATTAGGATTCAGATTCTGATTCTGATGACAGAATAGATATTCCTTTGTGAATTAATTTTCCATGGTTAAGTTTGGCCTATGCAGGCTAGAGCGAGAAGTATCGATGAGCTCTGATTTAAATTTAATGCGTGTGTACTGGCAGGGGATCTGTTTTAGACATTGGAACTAACAATAGCAGTTAAAAGTGGCTGGTGATCGACCAGCATTCGAGCAGTCCTTTCATTGTGGAGGCACTTTCCGTAACTTATGAATAGTTTAAATATTTTATTCAATTCAAGAACCTGTAGTTCCAAAGTAAATGTGCAATGCAACTTAGTTTGTTCACTGGAAATTGTAGCAAATGGTTGTAATTCTTGACGAATCGTAGCTGTTAAGACATACACCAATCTCCCATGGCTCGAGCTCCATTTCTGCCATTTCTGTTGGACTCAAAGTGTAAGATTTTTGTATTTACTCGATTATGAATGAAATATAAATACACAATAAAGTTTTACTGGTAGAAGTTTCTGTGTTTTTTTGCCCCCACCCCCGCCTTTTGAACATTTTTTCCTCTGTTTAATTTTGGGTTTTAATCACATTTTCTTTTAATTGATGACAGGTAGAATTTATTTTCTGATATAATGTCTTGAATTTTTAAGACATTTTGATGAATCAAATTCGAGACTGAAAGTTCAGTTGTTATTGTATTAGTTGGTTTTTGTTCTTATTTTTTTATATTAATTGAAACAAAAGATTTGTTTTGTGTAGGAAGTAATGTTGTAGTGATTCTTGTTTTCATATGTTTAAGTCTTCAAGAACGATGAACTTCTTCCAATGTTTCATGTTTACTTTACATTCCATCTAGCAATATAGCTTCTAAGCTGTTCTTTCTGATCGAATTGTCTTTTAATGCGGTAATGGGAGTTGATTATGGATTCCGTCTCTTTTTTTTTCACATGATTTGGCTCGAAGATGCTTTTAGACTTTTTCGGGCTCGAGTCATGGAATAACAGACATTTTTTTCTTTCAAGTCTGCAGATATCCTCCAATTAACAAGCCTGCTGGAGTTGTCCACTGGCTAGAACACAGTAAAGATGCGCAGAATGTTGATTGGGTCGTAATTTTGGATGCAGACATGATCCTCTGTGGTTCGGTTATACCTAGGGAACTTGGTGCAGAAAGAGGCAGGCCTGTTGCTTCTTATTATGGGTATTAAACTTTTCATTATTTATGCAAAGTATGCCAAAACAGAGAGTTGTACTGTGACACTGCTTCAACATTCATTTTTCGATGTTCTAAATTTATATATTCATAATCATTTGGTATATCGGGTACTTGATAGGATGTGGTAATAGTCTTGCCAAATTGCACACAAAGCACCCGTAACTTTGTGACAAGGTTGGTGGGCTTTTAGCCATGCATATAAATGATCTTCGAGTTCTGGCACCTTTGTGGCTTTCCAAGACTGAAGAGGTACGTGAAGACCGAGCTCACTGGTCAATGAATATAACTGGTGACATCTACGGGACAGGCTGGATTAGTGAGATGCATGGTCACCCGTTTGGTGCAGCAGAAGTACGTTATTTTGTTTATTTTATTACCCTAAAAATTGAGAACAATTTTTTTTTCTCCTGCGTCGGTTCGTGATATTTCTATATCCATCTTTGTTTTTTGGTTATGTTTTACAGGCAGGACTTAGGCATAAGATCAATGACCACATGGTGATCTACCCAGGATATACTCCGCGATCGTGTGTTGAGCCTATTCTTCTGCATTATGGCTTGCCATTTAGTGTGGGGAACTTGTCTTTCAGTAGATTACAACATCATGAAGATGATATTGTTTACGAGCGTAAGCAACTCTTTCTCAAACCTCCTCATCCTGGAGAAGTATGTTAGCCTCTCTTACGATTAAAATTGAGGCATGGCATGGGCTTTATTAGCGAACTAAACATCGTGCCTATAATAAACGATGATTGCACATATAAAAACATTTTATTGCATCTACAACTTTCCTGATATAATGGATATTAATTATATCCTTTCTTTACGCAGGTGAAAGCTATGGAGTCGGATCAATTAAAGGGCCTGGCTTATATTTGAGTATCGAGTGTATTAAGACTATGAATGAGGCCCTTCCCTTACAATGTGCCAGACACGAATGCCTGAAGTCGGATGCAGTTAGCACATCTCATAAGCAGTGAGATATTAATATATCCGGGTTATATTCCTCAACCCGGTGTGAAGTATCGAGTTTCCCACTATGGCTTGGAATTTAAAGTCGGGAATTGGAGCTTTGATAAAGGTGAACTGGAGAGATGTCGAGATATGGTGAACCAATGCCTGGGATATGTTCCCAGACCCTCCTGACCCTGAAACACTTAATCAAACCGACGAGAACTCACTTCAACTAGACCTGCTTAGCGTCAAATGTTTGAAAACATTAAACGAAACATTGCGTCTGCATCACAAACTGCCTTATACAATCGAAAATCAGAGAACAAAGAACAAATGATTCTTGAGAATCATCTCTAACTAATGTTCTGGATGAAGACATAAGTACTTAAAGGTTCAGGATCATTCTTTTATGGGTGTTTTCCGGGATAGGTTTTACGTTAGTCATGTTACTGGAGAAGATCTTGTACATGATTCTTAAAAGCAAACGACCGTGATCGGCAAATCCGAAAGTCGCCGCTATTTACGTGATCGGCAAATCTGAAAGTCTGTCGCTATTTACATGTTTTGCTGTGGTGTTTTCCGGGTTATGATTTCTATGGCGGATCGTAAGCAAAACTTACAAGAATTCCCAACAATGCAATCTCCAAATCTCCGGAAGTGGACATAGTTTTTGATGTTTCAACCACTGGTTGTTCAACTTGGAACATCCATGGAAACCTAACATCTTTCACTTCGTGTTCAGGCAAATGCCAAAAATCATGGTCCAAATTTAAGCTCGAAAGCATTATATGTTCCTTTTGCTTGAAAAAACAATAATTCCAAATCCAGACCAAACTTTAAAACATGTTTAGCGTTTGGATTCTTGTTCTGTATCCAATTCCAACTGCCCCAACCATCTGGGTTTCTCTTTAAATTAAAAATAAGTTATGTATTTAGTTATTTATCTATTCTAGTTGTTTCGTTTCGATCATTTATTTTTTTTCAAAATAATAATTAACATTAAATTTTCGTTACGAGTCCTTAAGAAATAAACAAAATTGTTGTTGTAGTAATTTTTTTAATTTTTTAGTAATCACATAATATTATCTTATAGTGATATATTAATATCGTCATTATATTTTTAACAGTGGAGTATCAAGTATCAAAACGAAAACAAAACATAATATTAAATATAATTTTAAAAAATATATAGATGGTCAAAATAAAATCCTAAAAATAGATAGACGACCAAGGGTGCGTTTGGTTCACGAAATATAATATTATCAGTGGGAATAAAAGATTACCATGGAATAGGATTACTGAGAATGTTATATTTTGTGTTTGGTTGGTTTAGCAGGAATGTAAGATTACCGTGTTTGGTTAGGGGAATAAAAGATTATTGAAATGTATATTTGACCAAATTATCCTTATTATATATATATATTTTTTAAGTTGGAAAATATTTATATATTTTCTTTAAAAAATTTAAATTCATAAAATTTATATAATTTCTTTTACAAAATTGAAAATATAAAAAGGTTTAATGAAAGGGTAAAATTTTATTTTAAACCTTGAATTTCATATAAAATTTTAATTATAGATTTTTTTTTGTAAATCTAAAATAATTTAAAGATAAATTTATAATTTAACCTTTGTAAAATTTTTATTATTCAATGATAAAATAAGGATATTTTTTAAGAAAAAAAATTTAAGTACATTTTAGTCCAAAATGTTGGTAATCCAACAATGCCTAAAGAAAGAGAAATAATGACATTCTCGATAATATACCAAAAAAAACCCACTATTAGTAATGTAAGATTACCGAAAATGATGTTTTCGGCCAACCAAACGAAAAAAATGTGGATTCTATTCCAATAAAAATCTCACATTCTCCGAACCAAACACACGCATAGTTTTAAAACATCTGGAAAAAAATGTATCCAACAATATGGACGTTAAAAAGACTTTTCATGTTCGACAAGTGGGCCCCAAGATGAAGATGATTTTTTCTGTTTAAAATATGGAAACTCGTTTTATGACCCCACTTTAGATAATAAAATAAAGATTGGTCTGAAAATTTGAACTTCACTTTTCTCATCTCCAATGGCCTCCTCCACTGTTACTCTTATCATTTGAATTTCAAATTTAAATGTCTTTGTTTTCTCTCAATAGTTCAGTGGAAGACATACACTGCATAATTGTTAAAGATTAGTGGTTTGGGAACAGACATGGGAGACTCAGCTTGTCTCATGCAACCATTTTCTTACACTGCAGGCCTTCCCCATGATTCCAAGGAGGTCATAATCATTAAAGATTCTTTCTTTACATTTTGTTAAAAGATTCCAAATTTTAAAAAATGGTTTTTTTTTTCAGGGAAACCATGGTCTTGGACAGTCGATATCATTCGGGAGATTCATGTCGGAATCTCTGTCTTGGGAGAAGTGGTCGGCGTTTTCTCATAACAAATATGTTGAAGAAGCCGAGAGATATGCGAGGCCTGGTTCAGTGGCTCAAAAGAAAGCATTTTTTGAAGCTCATTACAAGACCCTTGCTGCTAGGAAAGCAGCCGCCATGCTCGAACAAGCCAAAAATGCTGCTGAAACTGAGGCCGTTCGCCAAGAAAACAAGCCCTCAAGTGCAGAAAGTGGCTTCGTTTATGAATGTAAAGAGAATAATTCAGAATTTGTGAAGAGTGGGAGCAGAAATATGGGTGTAGGAGCTGATTCAGTTGATGAACCCCAGGTTCTTTTGGAGAATAATATGAAAAATGAAACTTTTGAAAAGAATGGGGTTGTTTTTAAGGGTGAAATTAGAGATTTGGAGGTTAAAGAAACAACCCAAGTGAAGAACAATTGTGTTCAAGTTAACCAGACAAAACTGCCTGAATATGATAAAGAACTGGAGCTCAGTGAAGGGACTCAAATGAAGAAGCCTCTACTTGAGGTAAACAATTCTGTGTCACTCTTTGTTTCGATCTGTTTTCGAACATGGGATCCTCTAAATATACGAAAAACATAGAATACTGTTATGCAGAGTGGCAAAACAAATGAAGATGAACCTGAGGTAACAAGCAAGAAGAAACCTTCATATTCTTCCTCAAAGGTGTCAGCTGGTGAATATAATACAGAATTGGAGCTCAGTGAAGGAACTCAAATGGAGAAACCTCTAATCAAGGTCAAACAAGATTATCCAAATCTCCATTGTTTTGATTTCAATGTTTTCTAACATACTTGTTTCTGACATTTATGTGTACCTACCGAGTACTCAAACCCGAATCTAAATAACATAGTTTTAACATTGTTGCAGCATGGCAAAACAAATCAAGATGAATTTGAGGTAACAAGCAAGAGGAAACCTTCACATTGTTCCTCAAAGGTGTCAGGTAATGCGAGGACATCCAAGGTTCCATCTTCACCTTCGAAATTCAAAGCTCCGCTTCGTCCCAACAATGGAAACAATCTCACTCCAAGGGCCAAGAAGCCTGCAATTGGTATATCTGAAAGAAAGAGATCAACACCAAAACCGAGCCACAAGTCTATTAACTTCACCCCTGCAAAAGAACTCAGTAAATTAACTGGTCCAAGAACTGACTCAAACTGTAAAGCATCTAAAGAATTCCCAACACCTTTAAGGACTCCAAACAAGGTTCCGTTTTTGTCCACAATTTACTATCATGTTCTACTTCCAGTATCCGGTTGATGAACTCGGTTTCATTTATGTATTGCAGGCTTCTGTAAGTGGAAAACTGAAACAATCCTCAGCCACCCCTTGGTCCGAAAACCGAAGGTATAATCCGATTCTTGTTATTGAAACTAGGAAATGTTTGAAACATTAATGTTTAAACCACTATCTCATATGCATGCATTACAGTGCTAGAACACCAGTTGATTCCTCAGCCAGTGTCAGCAAAACAGCACGCGGAAAATGGAGCTTTCTTCCTACAGAGTAATATACTTTTTTCCCTCTTTGATTACTGCAAATTGTTCATAGTGCAAGGGACTTTGAAGTTATAATTTCTTTTTGTTTTTGTTTTCTAGAAGAAGGATTTTGAGTGGTTCCAGAAACAAATCACAGTCACCTGGTATATTTGCATCTTTCAGTTTGAGAACTGAAGAAAGAGCTGCTAGAAGAAAACAGGCAAGTCTCAATATAAACCATCTGCTTTACATTTACTGTGTTGTATATGAAGTTCGTCGATGGATTCATTAAGTTTTACCATTTTCTCCAACCCTTTCCAGAGGCTCGAAGAAAAATTCAATGTTATTCAGGAACAAAAAGTACAGCAGCAAACAACACTCGAGGTTACTTTTTTTTTCTTTATAGGATCAAATGATGAAATCATCAAGTAGAACATATCTGAGGTAAGTAGATACTGTTGCAGGAAAAAGCAGTGACCGAACTCAAGAAACTACGACAAAGCTTCTGCTTCAAGGCAAGACCATTGCCAGATTTTTATAAAGATATAAAACCCAAAGATCAGATTCAAAAGAAACTGGAATCACCTTCCATAGGAAGAAAATCCACTCCCAGCAAACACTCTCTTCCTCATTGGAAGTCTTCGATTAAGAACACTTGCTTCATTCATAAGAAAGACCGAATGTCAGCTCGTTCTCTTGCTTCACAGATTGCGACGACTGCTGATGAGAATGCATCATCAAACATCCAGCATGCATAAGGCTTTACACAACATTGTAAAATTCCGCATGTTAGTTGTATGAATCCCAAAATATTACTCAATTCTAATGCAGGATGCCTAGAATTGGATGAAATGGAGAGGCTGTAAAACAAAATAATCCCTTCCATATCGTAGCCAATTCATATCTGTGTGCAGCATTTCTTTCTGTAATTAGTAGAGTACTATTTAACAACATTTTGTCAAAAACTTCTTGTTCCCTGAAATATGTTTTGGAGCACTTTCGATTTGATAACTTCGGGTTCAAGTAACATGGAGTATATCCAAGACTGCGTGAATATTAAATATTAATAAAGGATTTTCAGAAATTTAAGGGCATTCAGAAACCTGAAACAGGCTATGGAATCTGGGGTATAGTCGGTTCGGTTCGGTTCAGTTTTTTGATAAAAGATTAACTAGATCACACTACATGAACCGAAACATAATGACATAAAAATCGTAATTTTCAGTTTGGTTCTACGGTTTTTAACTATTCACTATTTTTCAAACTCAACATTTAAATCGGATTGAAATCGAACCGCAAAATAAAAAACCTGAATCGAATTGAACGGCGTAGTGCTGTTCGGATTGGTTTCTCGATCTCCTTATTCAGCCCTAAATCTGGGGACTGATTCAAGTGAAAGGGAATTCGTTCATCTGTTAGATCTCATATAAAGAATAGCATACAGAAACTAGCTATAAATGAAAAGAGAAAGTGTTCTAAATACAGAATACAATTGTTGGCATCGTTAACTTTGAACCAATTGCACAAGGAGTCCTCCGGATCAACTGCTTTAAATAAACCACAATTTATAACGAAGTATGGAACTTTAAGCACCAGCAGTCAGCCTTGATGTATTGGATCATTTTAAAATCACTTTTCATCGTACTTTTAAAAGTATTACTAATTTAAATTAAGTTCATACATATACTCAAACTCAATGATTGTATTTGTAATATATATGGACGAACTGAGAGCGGCTAGCAGGGTTGTCGTCACTTCTGAAAAATTTTAAATTTTTATATTTTTTTTGTATTTTTTTATTGAAAATGTGTTTCTCCTCCTAAGTTTTTATAAGTTTCTCCCCTTTAAAATTTTATAATTCGTCTTCTAACATAAAATCATTCGTTTGTTCCTAGTAATATATATGGTTATGAATAATATGAATATGAGTAATTCCTAGATTTTCTTCCAAGTATAATGTGTTTTGTTTAGCTTTTATTGAGAAGTTTGATTGAGTATTAATTGTGTATTATTCCTAGCCCTAGTCTTTGAAAGGAAGATTCATATGTTGGATACTGAGAATTTCAATCATTTTTATTATCAATAAAATAACAAATAAAACACCATTTGTATATGTTACTATGATTAAAAATATATAAAAAGGAATCAAATATGGATGGATAAAGAGACATATAACACCACTGATGAAAGTGCATGATTGAGCTTTGAAATCACTCTTCCATGAGCATAAAATCTTTGGCTTAAAATGATGAATATATGTCTCTCCTATGCAGGACCAATACCTATGCACTTTTATATTATTTGCTCGATGCTTCTATTTAGGGATCACAATTTAATTCGATAAGAGAAATTTCTTTTTATTTTGGGTTTAAGTTCATATTGGATTGAGTTCAAATTTAGGTTAAAAATCTTCGACTCGACCTGATTATAGATAATGGTATAATTTTCTCCAATAAATTTAGGAATAATTTTTATAATATTAATCTCTCTGTAATTTTTTTTTTCCCAATTAGGTCTATTTTACCAAATAAAAATATGTTAGATAAGTTAGTTAGGTTGAGTCGGATGCTAGTGTTTACCCCAAAATTCAAATCAAATCAAGTTCAAATAGAGGAAACATGCTTCTTGAATAAGGTTGAGTTCAGATGGAAGAGATATACTTCTCAAGTCAAATCGAATCAAATCAAGTTGAATTCAATTAACTCTAATTATCCCTTTAATTTAGCACCACAAAACAATTAAATTAATATCTGAGACACAAAAAAGGAACCCCTATCTCTTCTCTTCCCACATGGGTTGAGAGTTTGAAACCCATATAAAATAATTAACCACCCATACATAAAGAGTAAACCTTTAGGGTGTGTTTGGTTGGGGAATATGAGATTCCCATGGGAATGGAATTCACATTCTTCCGTTTGGTTTGCCGGGAATGTCATTCCCGGTAATCTTACATTACCAATAGTGGATTTGTTTGGGCATATTATCGGGAATGTCATTACCTCCCTTTCCTTAGGTATTATTGGATTACCGACGTTTTGGACTAAAATGCCCTTAAAATTTTTTTCCTTTTCAAAAATATCTTTATTCTGTCATTGAATAATAAAACTTCTACGAATGTTAAATTACAAATTTATTCTTAAACTATTTTAGATTTACAAAAAAAATCTATAATTAAAATTTTATATGAAGTTAAGGGGTTAAAATAAAATTTTATCCTTCTATTAAACCTTTTTATATTTTCAATTTTGTAAAAAAAAAGTATATAAATTGTACGAATTTAAATTTTAAAAGAAAATATATATAAATATTTTCCAACTTGTTAAAAAAACAAATATATAATAAAGACAATTTGGTCAAATATACATTCCAATAATCTTTTATTCCTTTAACCAAACACGGTAATCTTACATTCCTACTAAACCAACCAAACACAAAATACAACATTCCCATTAATCTTATTCTCTGATAATCTTTTATTCTCACTGGTAATCTTACATTCCATGAACTAAACACACCCGTTGGGAAATGTGAGATTCACATGGGAATGGAATCCGCATTCCCCCGTTTGGTTGGTCGGGAATGTCATTCCTGGTAATCTTACATTACCAATAGTGAATTTTTTTGGGTATATTACCGGGAATGTCATTACCTCCCTTGCCTTAGGTATTGTTGGATTACCGGTGTTTTGGACTAAAATGTCCTTAAAAAATGTTCTTTCAAATTTATCATTATCCTGTCATTGAATAGTAAAAATTCTACGAAGGTTAAATTACAAATTTATCCTTAAACTCTTTTAAATTTACAAAAAAATCTATAATTAAAATTTTATATGAAGTTCAGGTTTTAAAATAAAATTTTACCCTTTCATTAAACCTTTTTATATTTTCAATCTTGTAAAAAAATTATATAAATTATATAAATTTAAATCTTTTAAAGAAAATATATAAATATTTTCCAACTTGTTAAAAAACAAATTTATAAAAAGGACAATTTGGTCTATACATTCCAATAATCTTTTATTCATTTAACCAAACACGGTAATCTTACATTTCTGCTAAACCAACCAAACACAAAATACAATATTCTCAGTAACCCTATTCCCTAATAATCTTTCATTCCCGCTGATAATCTTACATTCTGTGAACCAAACACACTCTTAAAACATCCGAAAAGACACGACCCACCTAACGAAACTTAACCGTAAATAAACTAAGCCTAAAAACAGCTCAATTTCTTCTTTTTCTTTGCATATGTTCCATCATCTTTTATATTATGGTTGACAATTTTGGATCGGATTAACCTTCCTCTCCTTTTAATTTTTTCTCATCATCTTTTGGGAATATGATAGGATGAAAAAAAATGATTCAATGCTAATACTTTTTCTTTTCTTTTAAGTGCAGTTTGGATTAAAAGAATATCTCATCATAAGTTGTTTAAGTTTTAATTATTTGATTTATACAATCACTTTTAAAGTATGGTATTAAATATTTATTTAAAGCTAATATCAAACTTCTATTTATATTAGTTTTAAGTCGATATTGAATAATTTCAGTATTGTTGTACTAACCAAAGCTTCCAAACATGTCATTTTACTTAAGTCTCAAACTAGCTCACGTCCACTGAACATAAACTCCTAGTCAATTACAACACATAAACTGTTTGTGGAATATGTCTATCGGATAGAGCAAAATCGCAACTGATAATTTGAGAAAATAAAAATGAAGATAAATAATATACAAATTTTACGTGGAAAACCCTTAAATAATATAGGGTAAAAACCACGGGCAACGGTAGAAGAATTTCACTATAAGAAAATAGGAATTACAACTTCTCTCGATCTAACAAGGAGAAAACAATAACAATTCTCTCTTGATAAAAAGGAGAAAACAACTCTCAAGAAAACTCCCTAAATTATCTAGTATTGGGAGAAAGCTAGAATGATTTGGGATGATTTTGAAGCTAAATGGGTAGTTGAAGCTTAATGACTAATCTTGTAAATACCCTAAAGTACAATGACTAAAATTGAAATTTTATCATTGCCAAAAAATCAACAAAATCAAGCCAACTTTTGACTTCACCATTGTGCAACTTTCGGTGGAATTAATTTAATCCCAACTTTCCACCGAAAGTTTGTTTTAATTTTCAACAATCTCTCGCTTGAAGATTTGAGTGAAACAATCATATCTTCACACCATTCTTTCTACCTTGTACCTTCATGTTGCTTATGTTTCTGTCAGTCCACAAGAGGATCGAAACCAAGTAAATTTATCAACATTGATCGACTTCGTCATGAAATCTGCTATGTTGTCTTTGGTATGGATCTTCTGCATATCTATCGTCCCTTCGTCCACCTTTTCACTAATGAAATGGTATTGAACTCGCATGTGCTTTGTCCTTGAATGAAATGTTGGATTCCTTGCTAGATGCAAGGCGCTTTGACTGTCACAAAACAAAGAGACATACTCTTGATTGTGCCCAAGCTCCTCCAATAGCATCTTCAACCAAATTGCTTCTTTACTGGCTTGTATAGCTGCTACATATTCTGCATATATTGTGGATGTAGCCACAACTGACTGTAATTTTGAAACCCATCTTACAGCTCCACCAGCAACTTTGAACACATATCCTGTAGTAGATTTGCTTTTATCCAAATCCCCTCCATAGTCAGAATCTACATGTCCATTGATTAGTAAGATTGATCCTCCGTAACATAATGCAATATTTGAGGTCCCTTTGATGTATCTCAGGATCATATTTATTGTATTCCAATGCTCTTTGCCTAGATTCGTCAGGTATCGACTAACCACTCTCACTGCTTGTGCAATGTCTGGTCTTTTGCATATCATAGTGAACATTAAACTTCTCACTGCTGATACATGCGGCACTTGAGATATCTCCATCATCTCTTGTTCACTGCTAGGACTCATACTGGAGGATAATTTGAAGTTAATAGGAAGAGGGGTAGAAATTGGCTTACAATTTTGCATGTTGAATCGTGACAAGATCTTCTTCAAGTAATTCTTTTGTGAAAGCCAAATCTTCCTATTACTTCTGTCTCGGTGAATTTGCATTCCTAGAATCTTGTTTGTTGATCCCAAGTCCTTCATTTCAAATTCTCTAGCCAGTTGTGCCTTCAATTATTCAATATGATCTTTGTTGAGTCCTGCAACCAACATGTCATCCATAAAAAACAACAATATAACAAAATTGTTATCACCAGACCTCTTGAAATAAGCACAAGGGTCTGCATTAAGTCTGTTGTATCCAAGGCACATAATGAATGAATCAAATCTCTTATACCAATACCTTGGAGCCTGCTTTAGACCGTACAGATATTTGTTCAACCTGCAAACCAAGTTCTTTTCTTTTTCTTAAAAACCTTCAGGCTGGAGCATGTAAATCCCTTCTTTAATATTTCTATGAAGAAAAGCTGTTTTAACATCTAGCTGCTCTAAATGTAAGTTCAATGTAGAACACATTGCCAAAACTACTCGAACTGTTGTTAGTCGAACCACATGAGAAAATATTTCATTAAAATCAATACATTCTTTTTGAGCATATCCTTTTACCACTAGTCTTGCACGATACCTCTCTACTTGATTGTCACCATTTTGCTTGATTTTGAAGACCCATTTGTTACCAATTGGCTTCCTTCCTTATGGTAGCGGCATTATTATTTTTATGAAGGGCTTCAATTTCTTCTTGCATTGCCATCATCCACAGTAAAGCATCTGAGCTGTTTATTGCCTCTTGAAATGTTGATGGCTCACCGTCCCCTGCTAAAAGGCAGTATGCAATATTTCCTTCTATAACATAATCTGAGTGTCAATTGGGACGTATTCTCATACGATCTGATTGACGAGTTGTTGGAGTTTCAGAACTCTCTGGTTCTTGTTCATCATGTGCTGGTTCTACTTCAGAAGAATCTTCTTGTTCAAACTCTTTTTCCACATATATCTGTGTAGTTTCTTACTTTTAAGCGCTATCATCTTCTTCTTTTCTTTGTAGTTTATCTTCTACAAAGAAAACATCCATGCTAATGATCACTTTGCGGGCAGTGGGATCCCACAAGCGATACCCCTTTACTCCATTAACATACCCCAAGAATTTGCATTTCCTGGATTTTTTATCCAACTTTGAAATTTCTTGGGAGTTTTACATCATGTACACTATACTTCCAAATACATGGAGGTTTGAATAATCAACTGGTTTACCAGTCCACATCTCCATTGGTGTCCTCAGCTCTATTGTAGTTAATGGAGCTCGATTCACCAAATAACATGCAGTATTGACTGCTTCTGCCCAAAATGATTTTTCTAGGCTTGCAACTATCAACATTGCTCTTGTTCTTTCTAACAAGGTTATGTTCATCTGCTCTGCCACTCCATTTTGTTGAGGAGTGTTTGTCACTGTGAATTGTCTTTTGATGCCTTATTTCTTGCAAAAGTCATCAAATTCTTCACTTGTGTATTCTTCTCCATTATCAGTTCTGAAACACTTGATCTTACTTCCAGAATCAAGTTCCACCCGCACTTTGAAGTTTTTAAAAGTGAAAAACACATCTGACTTCTTCTTAATAGGGTACACCCAACATTTTTTGGAGTAGTCATCAATAAATGAGACAAAATATTTTACTCCGCCTAGGGATGTAACTGGTGCTTGCCATATGTCAGAGTGAACCAATTCTAGAACACTTTTTCCTCTAGAATTTGATGTGTTTAATTTCAACCGGTGCTGCTTACTTGTTATGCAATGCTCACACAAAGTAAGTAATACCTTTGTTAAGCCTGGAAGTAGCTTTTGCTCCACAAGGACTTTCATTCCTTGTTCTGATATGTGTTCAAGTTTCTGATGCCATAGCATTACAGAATAGGAACTACATGAGGCAACATAGGCTTTTGCTTCTTGCAAAGTCTCTCCCTTCAGCATGTACAAGTTTGTAACTATCTTTTCGCCTTTCATCACTACAAGCGCTCCACGGAACACCTTTATGATTCCTTTCCATGTTTCAATCTTTTTTGCATTATTATCCAACAATCCATAGGATAATAAATTTTCTTCAGGCCTTTCACGTGTCGCACATCTCGAACAACTTTAATTGTTCTACCATTCATCTTCAACTTGATGGTTTTCACGCCAACGATCTCTAAGGTATAATCATTGGAACTATACACAGATCCTCCTGAGACAGGTTCATAATGATGGAACCATTCTCTTCTTGAAGTCATGTGATGTGTTGCTCATGAATCAATGAGCCATATATCTGTAAATCTCTTTCTACCTTCCACGGTGGTTGACGCTTCACAACATAGAGCATCTTCATCATCTGAAGTGTTTGCGGTATTGCCTTGTGGATTGGAGTTTTTATTTAAACTCCAACAATCCTTCTTCAAGTGACCCTTCTTTCCACAGTTATAGCACTTTAAATTCTTCTTGCTCCTCGACTTTGATATACCATGTTTGTGACTGCTGCTTTGGTCACGTTCTGTTGATCTCTCTCTCATCGTTGTCAATACTTCTGCTTGTTGCATATTTACTTGTTCTTGCGCCAATTTTCTTCTTGTAGAACAACAGCTGTAACGTTATCGAATACTAGACTGGTGACATTACTGTTTGTCAAGTTGATGATAAGTTGATCATACGAATCATGTAGACTTTGAAGTAGAAGTTCAACCCGTTCTTGTTCTCCTATTGTACATCTTAAGGATGTAAGCTGAGAAAATAAAGTGTTCAGTGTGTTTAAGTGCTCCGTCGCTGAAGTAGATTATGGCATACAAAGAGTATACAATTTTCTCTTAAAGAAAATTTTATTGTGTAGCGATGTGGCCTCGTACAGTTTGGTGAGATGATCTCATATCTCCTTAGTTGTCTTCTTCTCCTCGATGCTTGACAATACTTTATCTGCTAATGCTAGATGAAAGTTTGTCATAGCATTCCCGTCCATTTCGATCTATTTGTTGTCATCTGTTAAATCTACCGGTCTTTCACTGATAGTTGCTAGATAACCGTTTTTCCTCATGATGGCCTTCATCTTCAATTTTCACAATGAGAAATTTCTCCCATTGAATTTTTCAATATCAAATTTCGTTGTCATAGTTTCTTTTACTGATAGCTCCCACTATTTCACTATCGTGAATAGTTATCTAGAACCTTCAAAGAATGGGTAATACCTTCTTACTTTCTTATGTTGGAGGATCCACCTTTTGGTGGCAACCACAAAAATAATAAGTAGATATTACACACTCAAATCTGGCTTTGATACCAATTGTTGCGGAATACGGCTATCGGATAGAGCAAAATCGCAACTGATAATTTAAGAAAATAAAAAATAAGATAAAGAATACACAAATTTTACGTGGAAAATCCCTAAATAATATAGGGTAAAAACCACGGGCAACGATAGAAGAATTTCACTATGAGAAAATATGAATTACAACTTCTCTCGATCTAACAAGGAGAAAACAATAACAATTCTCTCTTGATAAAAATGAGAAAACAACTCTCAAGAAAACTCTCTAAATTCTCTAATATTGGGATAAAGCTAGAATGATTTGGGATGATTTTGAAGCTAAATGGGTTAGGGTATTTATAGTTGAAGCTTAAGGACTAATCTTGTAAATACCCTAAAGTACAATGACTAAAATTGAGATTTTACTATTGCAAAAAACTCAACAAAACCAAGCCAACTTTTGACTTCACCATTGTGCAACTTTCGGTGGAATTAATTTAATCTCAACTTTCCACCGAAAGTTTGTTTTAATTTTCAACATAAACAAGATCGTAGACTAGCTTCATAGATAAAATCTATGATAAATTCACATAATTTATCAAAGAGAAATTCAAACTCTTACCAGATTTGCAACGATTGTTGATATACGAATAATCATACAATTGACAACACACTAAAACTCATTGTAAATACCCTGTAACACATTCCAAAAAGGGGTTGGAACCCTGTCCATTCTCGCAACCTTTTATCTCTTCTTCATTTTTTTTACCGACCAACAGTCATTTTCTCTCATCTAAACTAAAAAAAAAATTACTCGAAACTTATAAGATAATTTATTTTTATCAAATATCATTCAGATTAAAATTTAATACGTCTCCATCTATATTTTTATCGATATTAACTTATACAGTTACATATCCAAATAGACACCCATAAAAATAATGATCCTAAAATGCATAAAATGAATGAGCAAAATATATTTGGCAGCCGACCTATGTTTTAGGCGTTTGGCCCGCCAATCAAGCAAGCGTGTTCCATAGGCACCCACCACCCCATGTGCTACCTTCATTCATCCCATTTCTCTTCTCTGGAGTATCATATAACCCCCTACTCCTACCATCTCTATACCTTCTTAAACTCTTTCTTAAACACAAATCCATCTCAGCCGTTAAAACCAACGACAAGAAATATGATGAAGTTTAAGTCTAAAAAGTTGTGCAGAGGCAGCTTCAAGTTTGGCATTCGAGGAAATAACGTCAAAGGTGGTGATCAAAAGGGTGTTGCGAACTGCAGCAACAACAACAGTGAAATCAAATGGGAACTTAGGCCCGGTGGGATGCTCGTTCAAAGGAGAGACACCGGTTCGAGTGCCGGCGGAGAAGGGACCATCGTCGTTAGAGTCTCGACCGTCTCTCAATGGCAGAATACCTCCATCGAACCAACTTCCACTTTCGGTAAGCTTTTTAATACACAGTTTAAATCGAATTAGTGATTGTAGATGGTATTGATTTGGTATAATTATCAGGGGAGTTGAAGATGATATTGTCATTGGTGACAAGTATGGAGCCAAGAGAGCAGAGGGTGTTATTCAAAGGGAAAGAAAGGGAAGACGGTGAATACTTGCACATGGTTGGTGTGGGAGACAAAGACAAAGTGGTTTTACTTTTACTACAAGATCCAGCCATTCAAGAGATGAAGAAGCTTCGTAGATTGACATCAACAATCCCTACTGCTTATCGCACCATTAGTGTATGATATTATTATAAACTACATTATTAATGCTGACTTGTATGCACTCACCACACACCAAAAGTGTTAAAATATGGTGAAGTGTTATTATATATTTCAGTTTGATTAGGTTAGGGACTTGGTTGTATCCAAACTACATAGTTTAATTTCAATGCCCATGCATGTCCACCTCATTTTCAGGTTATTTAATGTGTTTATAAAGTGTAACAGTTTTTAAGTCACAAGTTTTAAGTATTGTAACAGTTTTTCTTTTTATTTTAAAGTGAATTTAGTATTATAATAGGGTTGGTAGAGGTTGCTTCCTAAATTTTTTAAATTTTTTTTATATGTTTTAGACGTTTTCTTTATATTTTTTTTATTAAAAATATGTTATAGTCCCCTAAAATTTTATAAGTTTGTCTCCCCTTAAATTTTTATAAGTTTGTCTCCTAACGTAAAATCATGCATTCGTCCCTGATTATAACACACATATATATACCAAAATCAAACATTTTAAAAACTCAATAAAATAGAATACATCAAGCGGTCTCAATGGTTAAAATAAGTGTTATTCTTCTTTAAAGTCTTGAATTTGAGCATTTGTGTCTTTGCAGGATTTATGTGCGTATTCAATAATTAAAAAATTAATAATAATCATCATGGAATTACAATATGTATACATAATTAATAACAAACGAACATAATTTATACAAGAGAAAATATTAAAATGTAAAACTTTAAAAGGAATAAATAAGAGCGGCAATTGATGGCTTATATGCAGTTGAATCAAATGCTTAAGCAGAAAGTTAGGTCCGTCGTAGAGTCAAAATCATTGCCAATACCATTAATAACAGCAAAACGGAAAAAATATTTGATTCCTAGGCCCAAACACATATATATGGTCCCATTGAAAGGTATTACATTTTTTATGTCTTAAATTAGGTAATATTTGTTTTTATCACCTCTCTTAAGTGATTGATTCAGGTAGGGTGAGAAAAACTTGATTTGATTCGACTCGAAAAATTGATTATTTTTTAATCTTAAATTATTCTAGTAGAATTATTCGAGTCAACTCGAATTATCAATTCGATTTTTGAGTTCTAGTCGAATTGAAATTTTGAAATTTCGAGTTATTCGAAAAATCAAAATGTTGACTAAATATTTTGACAGTTTTACAATTTAGTCATTGATTTCATTATTTATTTTAAATCTTTTTTTTACCAAATTTAAACGACATGCTCCTAAACCATCGTAGAATATATATGTTCTTTTAATTTCTATTTTTTGATAACAAATTTTCTATTTTTCAATTTAGTCTCTCAATTTTTTCATAATTTTCTTTTTTTCTTCTCTTCTTCCTTTATTTTAAGTATGTTTTTACCAAATTTGAACCATATGCTCCTAAATTATCGTAGAATACTATGTACTTTCAAAGTATCTTTCCAATAACAAATTTTTTATTTTTCAATTTATTCCCTCAATTTTTCATAATTTCCTTTTTTTTTCTTCAATTCATCCTTTATTTTAAGTCTATTTTTATCAAATTTGAACCACATGTTCCTAAACTATAGTTGAATACATATGTACTTTCAGTTTCTCTTTTTGATACTTTTTTCTATTTTTTCAGTTTAATCCCTCAATTTTTCATAATTTCTTTTTTTTTCAATTCATCATTTATTTTAAGTTCGTTTTTATCAAATTTGAACCACATACTCCTAAACCACCGTATAATACATATGTACTTTCAATTTCTCTTTTTGATAATAAATTTTCTATTTTTCAATTTAGTCCCTCAGTTTTTCATAATTTCCTTATTTCTTCGCTTCATCCTTTATTTTAGGTCTTTTTTTTTACCAAATTTGAACCATACTCATATTCCACATTAGAATACCTATTTACTTTCAATTTCTCTTTTTGATAACATTGTTCCTATTTTTTTAAGTTTAATCCCTCAATTTTTCATAATTTCCTTTTTTCCCCTTTAATTCATCCTTTATTTTAAGTCTGTTTTTATCAAATTTGAACCACATACTATTAAACCACCATAGAATATATATGTACTTTCAATTTCGCTTTTTGATAAATTTTTTTTCTATTTTTCAATTTAGTCCCTCAATTTTTCATAATTTTCTTATTTCTTCACTTCATCTTTTATTTTAGGTCTGTTTTTTACCAAATTTGAACCACATACTCATATATCACATTAGAATACCTATGTAACTTCAATTCTTATTTTTTTACTAAAACATTAATCTCTTTTTATTTTTTCCCTTACCTTTGCATTTTACTCAATTTGATTTTTTGACTATAATTGTTTGCAAATTCTTTCTTCTCATAGATTATTTGACTCTTTTTAACTATCATCAATATTTTACCATCAAAATACTTCCTTTAAAATATAATATTATGAATATATATCATAATTTTAGATTGTATTTGATATATAAATAACATTTTAAAGTGAAAAAATATAAAATACCCAAATCTTATATGGTTAGAGAAAGTAAAAAAAAATTGGAACAAATCATTGTCATGATACTATAAATAATTATAATAAAATGAAGGGTAAACTACATCTGAGACCACTTAACTATAACCCCTTTCCATTTTGACCACCATTTTTGAATTTTTGTCAATCGGGTCACCCAACTATTTAAATGCATTCAATCAAGTCACTAGTCATTAACAGTTAACGAAAGTGATGATGTGGCATTTAGTAGAATTGGTATAATTACATATTTAGTCATTGTTACTTATATATTCTATCAATTTGGTCCTAATTTTAATAAATTAAAATAAATTTAATCTTCTAATCAGATCATGCCACATGTGACTAGTGCCAAATATCATGACACAGGGTATATAAAGTAGCCTTCTAACCATTGAACCAAATAGATTAATTAGTTCAAGATAGATTACATATGGTATATATTTTGTATATCCGTCTAAACTTATATTTTATTCTAAATTATTAAATCTATTTTATTCTTGTCTTAACTTAAAATTATGTTCAATTTTTATTTTTAAATTATATTTTAACATATATTTTTAAGTTAAAGTATATATTGTATTCTTATTTTTAAATATATTTTATGTTAAAATATATTTTTAAGTTAAAAGATATATTTTATTCTTATTTTTAATATATATTTTTGTTAAAATAAGGATAAATTATATTTACTAATTTAAGGAAAGACTATAATATATTTAATAATTTAATTTAATAATATAATATATGTAATAAGTTAAAATAAAATAAAATATATTTTTAAAAGTTAAGATAAAAAATAAAATATAATTTTAAGTTGTGATAAGATTAAAATATATTTTAGATTAAGACAAGAATGAAATAGATTTAATAATTTAGAATAAAATTTAAGTTTAGACGTATATATAAAATATATAGAGAAAATAACCTCAGTGATCAAAAAAGCCTTATAATATACGATTTTAACCAACTTTTTTTGGATTTGCCAAAATGACCAACTAAATCGCAATGCGATCGATAATTCGCAACGCAATCTCTGGTATCGCAAATCAGTTTCCAGATTCGCAACGCGATTCTGACTATCGCATTGCGATTTCCCAAATTCGCGTTGCGATTTTCCTAATTCGCAATGCAAATACGTAAATCGCAACGCGAATTTGGAAAATCGCAATGCGAATACGTAAATCGCAATGCGAATATGTAAATCGCAATGCGAATCTGACTATCGCAATGTGATTTACATAGCGCCATTCGTATCCAACGCGTATTTTTTTTTCAAATTCCAAACACGAATATATTAATATATCGAAACACTGAACCGTCCACAGTATATCCCGTAATCGCAACTCATAACCTAAAACCCTAAATCACAACTTAGTCTCATCTCCATCTCTCACTCTCTAAGGCGACATCCGTCCCCATCTCCGACGAAATCAGTCCCCATCGCCGACGATATCAGTCTCCATCTCCGGCGAAATCATTCACGGTCAGAAATGGAAAATCAACCAAATCAACCACCGAGGATTAGTTTTTTTTAATTATTTTTATTTTGAAATTTTTGCATTATTATTAGGTTTTTCATATTGAAATTGATGATAAGTTTACTGGTGTTTTTAATAATAGATTAACCATTTCACTTAGATTGCTTATTATATTCATTCGATTGCTGCCAATACTGCTAAACTGTTTAGTCTTTAACCCTGTGAAGTTAGTATTTGTCTTTGTTTTGTCTTTTGGTTGAAGTAATGCAATCCATTCAAGTTTCTTTCAATTTTAGTATTTAAAACCGAGAATGACTATCGCAATGCGATTCTGTCGTTGCTATTTTCATTTCGCGTTGCGATTCTTGCATTGCGATAGTCAAATTCGCGTTGCGATAGTCATTTTCGTGTTGCGATTTTCATTGTCGTGTTGCGATTTAAAGTTTCAGAAACTATTCTTCTTCTGCAAATTGAAACTTGAATGAATTGCATTACTTCAACCAAAAAACAAATACTAAATTCACAGTGTTACAAATTTAAGTTTGAAGAATAAACTATTACTCTTTATGTTTATTGTTCATATCTTCACAGTGTAGTTTTTGGTATATCTAAATTGGTATGTTTATTTTTTTGCAGAACTTTTATTCGGCTCAATTGACCTTAAGAAATAAAGTAAGCATGGCCAAAACAATTGTGTCGAAGCTTTCACCTGTACAAAGAAAAATATTTAATGATACTTGCTTCGAGCTATGGCTGAAAGTACAACATCCGGGTGGAGATGCTATGTTGACCCATCTGTTTCTTCAAACCATGACTAGCGATCTGCTAGAGACTATACAACGTCGTGATGAAGAGATATGGTTTGATTTTCCACCGGCGTATACGTGTTTTGGGCGGGAGGAGTTTTGCTTAATCACCGGTCTACGCTTCGGACACGATGATGCAGATCGGTACACTAGACATATTACCCGCCTATCATGGTTTTCCCGGGTTTTTCCTGAGCTATCAACGGAGAAGTCGAATTTACACGTGGAAGACTTGACGAGATTATTGAATAAGAAAGATGGTTTTACTCGGATGGATGACGTCGATGTTGTCCGAGTATGCCTTCTAATACTTTTGCAAGCCGGCTTTTTAGGCAGAGAGGTCCGACAACCTATTCCTAATGATCTAATTAAATTGGTAGAGGACCTAAATGCATGTCACCTGTTTCCGTGGGGTTCGTATCTA